GTGCCCCCCCCCCCCCCCCCCCCCCAAAGCTCTCTAATTTTCTGTTGGCAAAACGCATAACTCTGGAGGATATTACTGATCAAGGTTAACCATATTTTCATAGGTCTGACAAATTAAGCAAGACAGAAGAAAAAAACAGAAGTCATCGGTCATCCTATAGACCTATACTGACCATGGCCAAAAGCACAACAAAAAAACAATATCAGGGGTTTGGTGTGGAAAATTCGTGTAGATGGTAGGTAACAATCAATCAGTAACAACCATGAAAAATGATAGCAGCTCCACTTTTGTTTTTGATAACCGAGAAATCCTCAAGGGTCATTAGCACAAGGTCCGAAACTCGATGGTAATGAGCCCACCCCTCTACCCTTCTCCACTTAATACTAGGCTGGCAAGGTTCGAACCCATGATGTGCAGCTAACCTATATATCACAACTTGCACTCCTACTACTAGACCAAATCCTTGAGGGCCAAGCATCATCTACATTGTGTTTCAAGACCCGCTAAAACTTGTTGGAGAGAGAGAAAGAAGAGACCAAAGGTACTTCTGTGCATTTCTCTTGCATGCCCATAGATGAATCACAGATAAAGCAGGCTCAATTACTACAATTAATACTATGAGTTCATTTTACGTATACATCTGATGAGCAACTGAATTTACAATAGAAGGAAATGATAGTACTCTCTTAGGGGAAGATATTCGACAAGATAACTTAAGCAGATATCTCATGTCAAAAAGATTTTATTTTACATCAATTTGTTTTTTGAGAGTGATGATATGAGCTGACATTTTATAGGAACTCAAGGAAGAAGGTGATACCTTCAAGTATATTTGGTTGAAAAAATCAGATCAGGCTGGAACATAATAATTGAGAAGAGAAATAAGCCTCCTAACTCAAAACCCAATCATATATTTACAGTGACATCGTAATTGACAGTGCTGGATTTATAAATGTAAAAGCAAGAAACTGCAAGGACGCCTTTGCATATATAAGATCATGCACTATTCACTTAGTTCAAAATCTACTGGGTAATCAAGAGAGAGCAAGATTGGAAGTAAATTTGATCTGGACAGGAGAAGTTTAAAATGTTTTTCAATAATCCTCAAAATGAGACAATACTTGAACTATAACTCAATGCCACTTCCAGAACTTGCCTCGGTCTATAGTAACTAATGTGCTACAGTTCATTGCTTCAATAACTCTTACCTGATAAAACATAACCATTTATTTTTAATGTAGATTACACCAAGGAAATTCTGATAATCTGATTACATTATCCAATACTTCAACCATGTCGAGGAGGTGAAAAACATCCATGAACAGAAATAAGAAGCTTAGCAATGCCAGGGATAAAAGCACAAATAAACCAAAACCAAAGATGAGAAGGACAACTTTTTCAAGAGGGCATCCCAACACCAAAAGTTGAATATGAGACCGATTATGATACGGACAAAGTTCCTATAATCCTTCTACAATTTTATAGCTCGTCAAATAGATTTTGAATCCATCAAATAATAAGAGATGTGACTCTTCAATAGAGATAAACCTTGTGGCATGTGGTTTAGCTGGTAACTCCGCACATAGCACGGAACGTGATGAGTAATGACAAAACATGTGATTTGCTAACCAAGCACATTCACCAATTCTCTCATTCTTAGAATCTACCAAAGCAATTCAAATATCTAGATATATAACGGCTTATATCGAATGTTTAAACAGTAAGACTAGCTCAATGGCCAAAAGGTTTAGTGTTTCAGTTCTCCTTTGGTATCAGATTTTTCCTTTAACCACTTGAATGATCATAAAATACCCAATCTTTGTATTGAACCACCATGGTCCTTTGCACTGGAAACAAAGTCACCGTTGCACATTACAAGAACATGCAGTCGGTGACAAGCAAATAAAACCTTTTTTTTTGTAAAGAACTAAATAGCATACACCAATAAGCCTGTAAATCATATATAAATGTTTAAACTGTAAGAATCACTCAATGGTCAAATAATTGTATTTCAGTTGGTCAAATCTTGGTAACAAGGGAACTACCCCACTTCCTTGCAACATAAAAACATGGCATCAATTCTTTTCTTGAACCAGTTGGCAGCAATAAGAACAACAATAACGTACATAGTCCCACAAAGTGGGGTTTGAGGAGTGTATTGGGTAAAGAGTAGCTTGTATACATGGCTCAATAAAAGAACACGTGAAACCAACAAAATCTGCTCAAGGAAGATAATTTGGTGGAATGAACTATTCTCGGAGATGTGTTCAGAGAAGATCAACATCGGTGATCCTCCAAGGCCGCAGAATGGTTGTCATCGGAAAAACATGGGAACTTGTGGCCCAGAGATGAATAGGGACTCATGTCTTGGTAATGTGGCAAAAAGGATGGATTTGCTAGATATGATCATATGAATATCCTGACCACATTAGCGGAATATTAGTTGGCACCACTAACGATATTTCCCACGAGGACAACATCCATTAGTAGGGCTCAAGTGGAGATTTTCTATTGGTTGGTGTATTACCCTTTATAACCTATAAATAGTAGTTTTAACACAATTGTGAGGGGATCTGATACCAAGAAAGTCAACACCATTACTCTCAAAATTGTGTGCTCCAAGCTTTCCATATTTTACTCAAATGATCCTGGGTTTGAAATTAAGATCACTCGAACAACACCGGATCCAGTGGCAAATACTCGTCATCGGAGCCATATCGCTTCATACAACTTTCTTCACTTACTTTATTTACCTTTTTGTCTCATTCTTTATTTATATTCACGAATATATTCAAAATCTAATTACCAAACCTAACAAGTTAAATCAAGACGTGTGTCCTTGATCTCATTAGAAATTCAACTGTATTGTTTTCCCATAAACAAGGAGGGTAGAGTGTACGCAGACCTAACCCCTACCTCAAAGATAGAGAGGTTGTTTCCAATAGACAGTTGGCAGATTAAATAAATATCCAATCTTAGGATTGAACAACCACAATCATTTACACTACAAATGAAGTCAATTAATATCAGCTAATGCACATTACAAGAACATGTAGTCAATAACAAGCAAACACAACTTTTTTTGGTGAAGAAGCAGAGCAGAATACTACATTACATCGTGCTTAATACCCAATTAAAACAAAGAGAGAAACTACACACAAAATTAACAGTGAGAAAAAAAAAAAAACTGAAAACCAAGAGCTCTTCCTGAAATTTGACAAATCCACTAAAGATTAACCTGGCTAAGGCACTGAGGGGGGCATTGTCCTTTGATGAGAAGCAGAAGCAGAAGAGGGGTTTTCTTGGCGAAGCTCTTTAATTACAGCAGCCAATGCTTCAGGGTTAAGACCCAAATCACAGAGGGAAATCAAAACAGAAAGAGAGTGACGATCGAGGCCAGTGTCCAGAATGTTCGACATATGAAATACAAGCTCCAGTGAATCACGAGCTGTACGTGCAGCCTCCGGATCCATTCGAGATACTGTAAACACAGAATCTTGATACATAAGAAATTGAAAACTACCCAGAAATTAAGAACATCAAATCAAAATGTAAATGCAGTATGAGTAACTAAAATTGAATGGGAAACTGAGAATTCACTTGGGATTTTGCTTCCTTTTTCTGCAAATCGATGAGAAAATGGTTGCTATTTCAAGATAGCTGCACTGTAGAACGGGCAAAGATTTGGGCAAATTTATGTTTGAAAATGAAATTATGTCTTTTGGGGCATTAGGTCATTAATAGGGTAAATTTTAGGAATGACAAAAAAAAAGATAGGAAAACTACATAATATAGCAAACATTAATTTATATTCAATGTATATAGTTACATTTTATTTTTTTTTAAGCTATATGAATATACTTAAATATTAATTAGCAAACTTAATTAACCATGAATTGTCATATTTTTTTTAAAAAATTATATGTATTTAAATAATTATTAAATAGGAAAGATATCACTACACACCTAATAAATGCAATATGCACGTTTTATGGTGCTATGTTCCCATACTTACCTTATTCAATATTTTTCTCTTTCAATATACATGTATCAATGTCTCTTTTTATTATTTTTTCCCCCAATTTTTTTCTAATTCAAGATCATTTGCATGATTGTAGGAATGATTTTTGTGATTCATCTTAATTGAGTATTTTCTAATTGCATTTTTTTCTCGTTTATATGAAGTTTATATTTGTATACATATATATGCTTTTCGATTTTCGTAGGATTTTGTTTGAAGAAGTTATTTTCACCAGCATTCAAATATACAATTTTCTTGATAACATAAATACATTACATAGATTTGAATGTATATCTATACAACACATCTATTTTTTAAAAAATTCACTTTGATACAAATGATGTAATACATGAATACATTTCATTCTCTTGATACACACATATAATTGTATTTGAATGTTGAACACAATGGAATACATATACATTTGAATACTTGTTATTTTTTTGGATTGTCCAATTGGAAATACAAGGGCATTTGGATACATAAATACATTACATAGATTTGAATATATAGTATACAACACATCTATTTTTTTATAGAGTGAAATACATATACATTTGGGTAAATTATATGGCAGTATAGTTCATTGTCATTTTTTTCTAGATTGTCCAATTGTATTGATATATTAACACAATTGTATTGAGCAATCTTAGAGATACAGTTATGCGTGTCATGGAGTTCGCGTATTTGAAATCGAAACAAACAAGATTCATTCACAATTACAATAAATCAATTTAACTAAAGAAATTTATGTGAAATACATTTATGCTTGAACAAGAACAATAACGACAATGAAAATTTGTGTACGATGTATCCAATTTTTTTAAAACTAATTGAAATTCAAGAGTATATGCATTGACTAGGTAATCAAATACATGAATACATTTTATTCTCTTGATTACACACATATAATTGTATTTGAATGTTGAACACAGTGAAATACATATACATTTCAATACTTGTTATTTTTTCATGGATTGTCCAATTGAAAATACAAGTGCATTTGAATACATAAATACATTACATAGATTGAATGTATATGTATACAACACATCTATATTTTTATAGAGTGAAATACATATACATATGGATAATCATATTGTAGTATAGTTCAATATTGTCATTTTTTTTTTTATAGATTGTCCAATTGTATTGATATATCAACACAATTGTATTGAGCAATCTTAGGGATACAACTATGCTTCTCATGGAGTTCGCGTATTTGAAATCGAAACAAACAAGATTCATTCACAATTACAATATATCAATTTAACTAAAAACAATTATATGAAATACGTGTACGCTTGAACAAGAATAATAGCGAAAATGAAAATTTGAATACAATGTATCCAAAAAAAAATTAAAAGTAATTGGAATCCAAGAGTATACACATTGACTATGTAATCATTAGTTGTTGATATAATAATGGGAAGTTTAGAATTTCATGACATAATTAAAGGGATTCAATTACCTTATTTAATGCACTATAATTCTAATTGTATCAATGTATAATTAAAAAAAAATTACACAAATACAGCTAGATATTCATATAAATGTAGTCATTTTTAGTAAATAACATATTTATAGCTATTGAACTTCAATAACCCTATAAATGTAGTCATTTATGTAAGTTGCAAGATATCCATATTAGTGGTCTATAGTTATAGTTTAGATAATTATGCTTTATATAATTCACTAAATACGTTCAATGTATATACAAATTGGTCCATTCTGTATAAATTCATTTATACAATTGGATAATTCGTATGTGAAACGTTTCAATTTTTCTCTATATTTGTATATGTATATAGTACATGTTTGTCTTTAATTCTGATAATTGCATTTGTATATTAGATGTAATTTGTATGTGTATATGTGTTTTCTAAATTTGTATACATATACATTACGGGTTTGTTTGTGTCGCTGAAAATTGTGTTTGTGTATTTTTGTGTTATCCGTTGGTCCCAATCAAATGGCAAACTAGGTGACACACTGGTTGCGAAATACAATTTATTTTAACTATAACTATAGCATTTAAATAGAATATATGAGTGGTTGTGTGTTTTTCTTTTAGAAGTATATTATGCTGCACTCCGACATACAATAAAACTTGTTATGTCTTGTCCGACATATTTTGTGAATATTACGCTCTCAACATATAATATAACTTTTTTTTTAGGGTATAATTTGTGTAATATTATTATATGAACATATAAATTAATGTCACAAACAAGTTATTTGTTATTTTGGTGTCACGAGCATAAATTGTTAGGCTTTTCACTGTTTAACTTGTGAGATATTATGATACAAAAAATATAAATGTGTCCAACGGATAATTATGTGTTATTTTGATATCAAGGATATAATCATTTATTTATTATTTAAAATGTTGGAGGACAAATAAAAAATCACAAATTTAAAGAGCAAAAATTAAACACCACCTAAATATAGGATATTCGTATAGATGACACGAAAGGGTGTTTGGATTCGCTTTGCTTAAGTAGCTTATAAGCTATAATTCATAAGTTGGTCGTAACCAATTTTTGACTTTTAACCTTTTTTATTATTATTATTATTTTGACTTAAAAATAAGTACTTAAAAATATTTTTTTTATCTTTATCAAACACCTTCAAAAATAACATATACAGAAAAATTAAAAGCCAAAAGTTACTTAAAATAGTCAATCCAACTACCCTTTAAATAAAATATTAAACTTCTTTTACTAAAGTATTACTGTTATAAAATAAAGACTAAGTACTAAAATTAAACTAATAACAACCAAGAAGAGAAGAATGTAGTAGAGAGATAAAAACTTTTATCTTCCTTATTTTTATGTGTTTTTCCATACAAGTTACAATGCCTTTTATAGGCATAAAAAAGGTATAATGGACATTCATTAATCCATTTACAACACTCCTCATTGGATGTCCATGTAAAATAAAATTCTTAGTAAAGTAATGTTGACACCCAATTTTGGACCTCCAAGATATGAATTAGTCACTTGTATATAATTAGTATAGTTTATGAATATTCGAAAACTGTCTCAAAAAGATTTTGTTAAATGTTTGGTTAATTAATTTAGTTATATAATAGTTTATACTTTAATTTATTTAGGTTATAGTTAAGTTAATTATTTTATTTCATTAACATTAAGAAGCTCATTGATTAATTTATATTAATTCGTCTTATTTAGGGTTTAGTCGAATTTGTTAAATTAACTCAATTTAACTAAATTTTTTTAAACTCCAAAATTTGACTCATCTATGACCAATGTTTTCACTCCTTGTTGGACCATTTAAAGGACCAAATTTTGGGCCTTTCTTGCCTCTTTTCAGTTGCCCAGCAGACCCAATTTAATATTCCCAGCCCAAACCCAATTCTTCCAACAATACAACAATACAAAAAAACAACCAGCAGTGCTCCAATACATACCTAACCCGACCCTGCACTGTTCTTCTTCCCCAGACGCGACCAAACCCAGAAAATTAAATCGCAACTCCAATAAAGAACGCGACCCGACCCAGCTCTCGTGTCCCTCTCCCTCTCTCACCTGCAGCGTGTTCTTTTTCGTACAAGAGTCGTTGTCGAATTATCCAGGTGTCTCCATCTTCTTGCCTCTTCGTCCTTTCCCTTGAATCGAACGATCCTCCTCTCAAATCCGTTGAAGAATGGTACTATTCCAGCTCGTCTACTCTTTATCCTTTAGGATTTCAAATTTCAAATTCTTGGAATTCACTCAAGATCCCTCCCGATTCCCAGCCCTAATTTTCCCCTATAAAAAGCTCTCTTCTCCTCATCTTTAGAAAAAAAAAAAAAAAACGGCAACTCACATATAGAAAAAAAAAAAAAAAAGATCATAAAGGATCCAACATTAAATAGATATAAAGAATACATACAAAAAACATTGAGAGAATAGAGTAAGAGATTCATCCTCTGAAACAGAGGATATTTTCAGATTGGAGATTCTTTTGCTTTCCGAAACTCATCTTAATCGGCTCAGAGTGGTGGAAGCGCTTCAAAGTTTCGAGTTCCAGTCTCGCTGCCTTGGAAAAGGTATACAACCTCGTTCTTCTTACAGTTCCTCTTAAATTTGAGTTTTGTTTGTTTGTTTAGTTGACTATATGTTTTGATAGTTCACTAGGAATAGGGATTTCCTCGTGTGATTGAAACCTTGGTCATTGGTTTGTAGAATATGATCCAAGTACGTGTGTGTGTGGATAGTGAATGTGCTTCGAACCGTTTTCTAGCTCAAAAGTTGTTGCTTGTTGGTTTGATTTCTTCACTATCCATTCTCGTTTCTATCAAAGTGGTGTAAATGTGATAAAAGCTAGACTATTTCCCTTTCTTCTTTTTTTTGAGTTACTACTTCAATATAATAGATGCGGCTAGTCTTTATTCTCAAGTGGCTGGATCGTTGTTCAGGTTTATTCGAAGTTCCGAGCTCACATTTTAAGATCACTTTTCTTCATAGTCCTGCTCTTAATTCGATTCTTAGCTTTGCATTTCAAATGTTTAAGCTTTTCTTGTTCATTATTTGCTTATGAGTTGATTGGTTTGTACTAATTCAAAGTCAGCAGTTCATTTCTATCATGCCTTAGCTTCTTTTTGTGCTTCGTATTGTTTCGGTTTGAATAGTATTCCGCTATTTGTTCACTCCTGGAACATGGAAGATGTTTGGATTAATTTGGTTTATAGTGCTA